ACTGGACCAACAGGCAACATTGTGATAAATGAAGCAAAGACTGAAATTGTCAGTTATTCATTTTGTTTGGGTCCATAATCAATACCCTGGGTAGCAGCATATTACATTGGGAAAAATCTATTGTCAAAGACTTCTCCAAAGTGATAAAGAGCAACAATGTCAGTTTAAAGACTAAAGTGCGCTTGATGCAAATCACAGTCTTTTCAATTAGTTCCTATGTATCTGAAAGTTACAATGAATTAAGACGAATAAAGATAATGAACAAGGATGACAAAAGAAAAATCAATGCCCTTGGACAGGATAAAGTATAACCATGTTGCTCCTTAGTGGCAAGGAGGGTGAAACTTTGTCTCACATGGTTTGGACGTGTGGTCAGGAGGGGCTAGTCCTTGGAAGGGGCATCATGCTGAGAACGGTGGAGAGTCAGAGAAAAGAGGAAGATGTCTCAACAAGATGGACTGATATCCTACTGTAACAATGGGTTCAAGTATGTCCGAGATCATGAGGATGTCTCAGAATAGGACAAAGTTCAAACCTGTTGCTCATCCAGTCTCTATGAGTCAGAAGCAACTTGATGGAACCTAAAGAACAAATTCTTTCTGCCTAATTCTCCCACTCAGCAATTTCAACTTTTTTAAGATGTCCAATCGTTGAGCTTCCAATGCTTTTACTATCCATCACTGCCTGTTCCTCATGTCTGCATTCCACAATATTAAAATCACTGCCTTCTAAAAACTCTCTTCCTTTTCTCTTATGCCCTGAAGTTTACTGGCAAAATCTTAATGCTAAATAAATCCAGTGAGCCACTTCTCTCCATGCCTGCACCCCAGTTGGTAAATGTTCTTGGAGAAACACTGTTATGATGACAGATCTAACTCTACATGTGTAATAAGAATGTAACAATGTTTTAAAATACCTATACCTCCTTAATTTTTTTATACTTCCTTACTTTACTCAATTTCATCCTCAAATCTCCCAGGCTGATTCCCTTCTTTCTACTCTTAGCTGATAATTCTATTTTGTATTTTATATATGTGGGTTATGGGGTCTTAAATATCAGACAAGGACTTCCTCATATTTCACTACCAAATTTTGAAGATCTCTTTTATGCTTTCTTTCTTATGAAAATGAATGAAGTGCTTAAACTTCTGTTCATAGCCAGTCTCTCCCTTTCTATACTGGTTTCCATTTCTCTCAGTCTTCACTCCACAGTTACCAGTTCTCTCCCTTATATTGTCAATTTCCTCCTCACTACTTGAACATTCCTATCACCATGCAAACTCATTCTTGTGCCTCTCATCTTACCAACTACTTGATATTTTCTTATTTGTATGCTATTGTCTTTTTCCTACAAGAATATAAATAGGAACCTTGTTCAACAGTATATCCGGAGCACCACCAGCCTTTTAAAAAATAGTATCTTGATCCCTCTCTGGCCATTTTGTCGGCAGCTGTAGCTGGAGGGCTGGCTGGCACCTAAGGTGAGAACGTGGTAGCTGTGAAAAAGTCCCTGGAGTCGATCAACTCTAGGCATCAACTTGTTATGAAAAGTGTGTGTACCTTTATAAGCTAGAATTGTAAAAATAAACCATCACCACAACGGAATATCATGAAGCACTGAAAAACAAAGAACTCATGAAATATTATACAACATGTGTGACCATGAAGGACATTATGCTCAGTGAAATATCTCAATCACAAAAGGACTAATACTGCATAATGCCGCTGTTATAGAACAG